TGGTGCCCATAAGACAGTGATCCTGGATGTGTTATGATCATTTTATGTTTATGAACAGTAGTGCTCTTCAAAGCCAGCAGCAGGAAGGTGGCCCCATTTTCAGAGGTTTATTGAATTAACATGATTTAGATCCCTTTGTTTTCATCCTAAATGTTTAGACTCGTCTTTCCTATAATGAAAGGTAATGTATAAAATTCAATTTTTGTTGACTGTCTTGTAAAAAATATAGTTTAAAATCTTTTACACACAAGCGCATGCTGCCGTTTGCTAAAGAGCTTGCCCGTGTAAAACTAGGGTCCAGACATTACATAAACATCTGGCACCACAGGTGTTTCGATTTCAGTGTGTCACCACTATTAAAGTGCCCTGCTCCCATCAGCGCTAACCTGATTATACGTGTCATATTTTGAAAATGGGATTTGCTGGTTCTGTTCAGTTCCTAGCTGCCACACACATATATTAAAGGCCTGACTAAAGTTACCTGCCTGCCAGGCACATTTGTTTTTTGTTTTGTTTTTTTCTCATATGTAAGCTGTTTTTGTCTATGTAGGTGTGAATGATAAGCCCCTTTTCAGACATTCAGACAGAGATAACATTCATTAATCTTTAAAGTGAGAAAATTATGCTGTGCAGATGTATAGCACTTTAGTTAAGGTTCTTTAATTGAAGACAAGTAAATTTTCGAATGTTTAGTTCTCTCCAATAGTGTAAAAAGGGGCAGGTTCTGTATTTGTACTGCATGGTGCTCCTTGGAGAGCTGTACCCTTCCCCTAACACATCCACCCAGGGACAAACATTTCTCTTCTGGATCAGGAAAAAAGCATCATATACAACTCTTCAAATTATAGTCGTTACTGATTCAAGACACATGCACATTCACAGTCTTGCCATTATTGAAGAGAGATGATCAATGTTCAGACATGAAGCCGACAAGTTCAGTTGATTAATGGAAACAATTGCATGTCTGAAGCGGGGGGTTAGTGTGTTTGAGACCTCTGAACTTGAAGTTTTGTGTTCATTTGAGTGGAGGTCAAACTTGTATACTACTTGTATGTGTGTTATGCAGTGGCTCAGTGTGTGGGAGCTGCTGTGGAATGTTCTGGCTTATTAGGGTGGTAGGTATTCCTGCTTTATATTGGACTGCAGTGCGAGTGGATATTATATAAAGTTAGGGAAGGAGAAAAAATGTTTATTTGCTGAGAATCTTCCCCACATGGACAGTTTTATTCTCACCAGGACTGAGAAGTTCTCCTGGCTTGCAGGAAAACCACTGAGCCTGCACCAAACCCTCTATGTTATACATATCTCCCTATTCTTGTTAGCCAAACCTTTGTCCCTCAACATGTTATAAGAGTCCCACCCCCATATACCTGTAAATAAATACAGTCCCATTCCACAGGTGCATTCAGAGTCAACAGCAGTGTCTTTCTTTAGCCACAACTTTTTTTTCTTACATAATGGTAATAAATGTTATGTTCAGATGAAGAGAAGTTAATGGAGCCACTGTAGACTGTTATCACGCACCTCTGTGACTCATTGTGTATTTAATTTAGCCCACGGGATAGTCTGTACACAAGGGTCATTGGTAAATTACATTATTGTTGATGCTTATGGTTGTCGAGATTATAATTAAACTGTACAATAAATGACTGCAAGTTAATTGAGCTGTTCTGTTTTCATATGTACAACCTGTACTGGTTTCTGAGCATTCTGTATAAGTTTTGTTACAACCCCGAACAAAAGGAAAGACTGCTGATAGAAAATCTGCACCATTAAACCTAAACACATTAGACAATTGGTGCCTCAATATATTCAAAATAAGAAAAGTGTACATTTGTTGGTATTTTTGTGACTGTGTTGTGACTCAGTCTTCTGCATCCTCCGTGTCTCTGCTCTGGAGGGCAACTGGACCCAGGAGTTCTTTAAACCCTGTGGTATTTCTAAAGGATTAAAAAATAGTGTTGAAATAAATGCGGTCAATATTAATTTGGTGTTGACTGGCAGATTCAAGAGGGTGTCATTTACCTATCTCTTTTAGACTGCATGACATAAGAGCGCTCTCTTCTGAGTTGCTCCAGACGCTCTTTCACAACAGTCTTCTGCTTGTTCTTATCTTCCTAAAAAGTAGACAATATGATGATAAGATAGCATGCTAATTCATTGTTTTTTTAGTTTTTTTTTTAAGTATACAGTTCCTCAATATGTAGTTACCAGTGGTAGATCTTGAGTAAGGTGCTTTATCCTGTCTGTGTGTTTCAGGCCAAGCAGGTCTTCTTCTGCCTTTCTGTTCTGGATGATTGACAGGCGCTCCTGAACCTGAAAGACATGCTAACAATGTAACATCAATTCTGCTTTCATTTCTGAGTCATGAGCATGCAGTGTCCCTCTCTACACCTTGTCTCACCCTGAGCAGTTGCCTCTCTCTGTCTCTCTGTTGCCTTTGTTCAACTTTTCTTTGCATGTCCACTAGGTTGCGCATTGTCCTCTCTCTCTCCATTGCAGACACCGGTTCGCTCACTCGTTCTCTCTCCATCAGAGAAGCTTCCTTCTTTGCCTTACACTCTGACAGGCTATAGTCTACCTGGAACATGGTGGGAAAATAGCTGGTTGTATGTTTTAAATGAGAACCGATCTAACCAGAATATATCAAGACTACTCTTACTGTTTCTTCTGGACAGTATTTCTGCTCCTTATAGCGATCAAGTTCAGGGTCTGTCATGTCCCACTGCTTGGACTCTGTTTCCACCTCAGTCACAACCCTGTCAGCATTAGTTATGTCCTTGCATGTCCCATAGCAGAAGTCGTCTGCATGTGGGTTAGCTTCAGAGGAATCAGCCATAGGGTGTGGCTGTGCGGCTTCCTTGCTCTCTGCCACCAAAGCATGTGTTTGTAAGCCACATTCAAATACAGCTTCTCCTTCATTTGGTTGATCGGCTGTTTGTCTGTTACTGAAGGCCAGCTAATAAGAATTCAGAAAGTGAACACATGAGTTCAGTGACAGTCACAGTGAATTACGTTCTGCTACACTCTTATGAAGTACCTCTTCTACTGTGCTGCACTGCTGGTTTGCAGACTGTGTGTCACAGTGATCTGGAGTACCAGACTTCAACCCAGTAGGTTTCAGCTCTTCTCCATCTCTCTCTTGATCTGACACATCACATTGTGTAGGCCGTGCTTGCGTCTTCAGACTTCTTGCACCATCCTGAATCTGTCCTGTACACCCATCTGCAGGCTCTGCTGCGCTGTCTATGTCATCCTCTGGTGGTTTGCTCCAGGCGAGGGTGATTAAAGAGCCCTGTTTCTCACAGCTCTGGGGGCTCTTTAATTCACTGCCCTCTGCTTCCTCTTTGGCTCCTCCATCTGCAGCAAGACCCTCACGAGCATCTGACACACACAGGATCTCCAAGTAGGGCAGGTCCTCCATGACTGCTCCACAACCTGTTGGAGTTCAAAGCATATTATTCTCACAGTTTTAGGAATATGTTATTTTATTAGGATAATTAGTTATTAAATGTTTTTAATACCTGAACAGAAATCGTGTTTGTAAGTCCCATCCGCATTTTGGACTTCATTCACTACACTGTTGCTGCTTTTGCTTGAATCAACCGTCTCAGCTTCAGCTGATCCCCCACTCATGTTTTGGACTTCTGCCTGTCCAGTGTAAGAGGACTGAACTATGATTTGCTTGCTGCTGCTGGTTTCAGTAAAGTTTGGATAAGGATTTAACATAGAGCCTGAACTAAGGGGGGCATCTGTCATCAGGAGGTGGAGCAGGTTGCTAAAGCACTGAGCTTGAAATTCAGATTTATATTTAACCCGCAAAGCCTGGAGAAGCTGTGCATTCTAAACAAAGAGACAAGATGCACCACTATTAACATTACAGCCTTTTGTAGGTTTTCTTGCTTTGACTTGTATGTTGTGATTGCCTCGACTCACCCCATCCATCATCGCTTGCAGTAAAGCAGAAGCTTGGACTTCCTGAAGTTCTGTTAGATGGGTTAGAAGAAGCAGGGCACAGTCTTCCAGGAGAAGTTGGGACCATTCTCTGTAGGCCTGCACTTTGAGCTGGGCCATCGGTTGTGGTTCAGGGTTAGTTTGCTGTAGAGGGCTCTGAGTACCACTGTGTGCCTGCAACCAAGCATGAATTTGATGCAGCCTTTTAATACAGCCATTCCTCAAAGGAACTTGATGATGATTGTCTGTCGAGGAAACAGGAAAGAAGATAATGAAGTGGAGAAATGATGGAAATCAAAAAGAAGTAAATTCTAAATAAATTCTGCTGGGAAAAATAAAACTATTTATTACCATATTTTGGAGGCACTGTGAATGCTGGTGCCTGCACATCCTTTATGGAGATTCCATGTATTAATGTGATAAGTTGCTTCCTCTCCTCCTCTTGAGTCAGCACCAGCAGCTGCAGCACTGACTGCTATAAGTGGACCAAAAATGTAGCTCTATTACTTATAAAAGTAATGTTAACCCACTAAAAAAAATCATGCATATAATCTGAGAGCAATATTATAACAGGAGTTTGCTGTCCACAGTCTGATTTGTAATACCTGCTCTATTGTCTCAAAGTCATACTCTTTCTCTTGTGCTTTTCCATGTAGCCACAAGGAGGCCTGCTCTGGTCTACGTGGACCGTTAACATGTGGCCTGAATGGACAGACAGTACACAAAAGATATGAAAACTTGATGATTGTGAATACAAACTGTTGTATACATGGTGTTTTTTGGCTCACCATGTCTCCCAGGACTGGCGAGCAGCCAGAAGAGCTGTATAGGAAAGTTTCTCTCTCTGAGCTCTAATAGTTGCCAACCTGACGTACAGACACAGCAGTTTCAGGCTCTCCCCATGGAGCCTGGAAGATAAAAGATTGATGAATCAACCCTTTCCCTCTCAGGGTTTCATGGTTGTATTTCCCCCCAAAAAACTCTCTTAAGTCAAATGTATGAAACTACTTGAAATAATTTACCTCTCATGCAGGACTGTAAGTGCATCATGTTCTTGTTGACAAAATTTGTGCAACTCATTCAGAAGAGAAACGGCAGACCAGGACTGCTCAGGACAACTTCTAAAAGATGCACTCATACAGGCCCTGAAGGGAAATAAGCTTTACCATGGTGCTTTGGCTTAACATGAATCAAACTAAATGTTTTCCATCCATAATACAGACATAATACAAATATATGAATGCCATCTTAATAGTAGACCCTAAAGTGCCAGTACGTATGAATGTGAGTGTGAATCGTCTGTCGCTTTTTGTTCTCCCTGTGCTGAACTTGTCCAAAGTGTATCCTGCCTGTTGGCCTATGCCACCTGAGATGGGATCTATCCCTTTTCAACCCTTTAGTTAAATAAGCAGTCAGGAAAATTGATGGATCTACAAATTAACCCATCTGTTTTGATAAACCATTTTCTTTGCCGTTACGTGTGCTATTTAACAAAGTTGTTTATGCACATCCTTTTTAGTTTTTGGATAACACACTGACTCCTTATATCCCCGACCAGTGGCAGTGTAGCCAAGTTCAAACACTCAAGCAAAGTAGCAAAAACATGATCTATGTGTGTTACTTGTACATCCTGAAAGCTCCTGGCAGCT